GTCCACACCCGATAGCTGTCCTGACTGCGGCGTCTTGCCGCATGAATGTCAGCATCTGTTCGCCTGTAGTTCCTGGTCAGGCCTCCAACTCACCCCCGTGGACCTTTGGCTCAAGGCGGCTGAGGTCGCGCCTTTTCTCCGTCTCCTAACTGCACCCAGTTTTGACTCCGGCGGGGATTCCTGATCTAACAAGGTCTACTAACCAACCAACCACGCTGTCATGCAAACGCACGCCTGGCCGCAGCTACCTATCCTTCGTCAGCTCTGATTGGTCTATGTCTCCGACATTTTCAACTCACGCGGATTGATAAATACATACAGCCTTTCTAGAAGAATGACTTGCTAATTGTTAATACAGGTCGATCGCCTTCTCTACTTTTCGCGGGCTAGATTTGGGGACAAAGACTGGGCAAGCTCACGGGTCATCCTTCTTACAAACCCTGCCCCATAACAAGTTTGGTTGCGCGCCTTTGAAACTTTTAGAGAATGTTTATGTTTTTCGCGGCCTTCGAGACCCTGGGCCGTGAAAGACATCAACATCCTCGAAAAGGTTCAAAGGCGTGCAACCAAATTTGTTATGGGGCAGGGCTCGCAGCCTTATGAAACACGGCTGTCGAATCTCAACCTCTTTCCATTGCGCTACAGGCAACTTCGGGGAGACCTGATATTAGCATTCCGCATATAACGTCTTCGGGACTGCTGTCTTATATCAGGAGATTTCTTTGAACTAGCAACAACAGCGAACTTGAGGAGTCATCCTCTCAAATTACGGGTGACTGGGACCAGGCCAGACGTTCGGAAGCCCTTCTCCTCAAAAAGGGTGGTCGGAGCGTGGAATGCGCTTTCTTAGGACGTCGTAATATCAGAATTTCTAGAAGTTTTTAAGCAAAAACTGGATCGATACCGTATTGCGCGTTATAGAACGAATTGACCGCAGCTGACAACTTACAACAACAATACTACTACTTTCAGTTTTTGAGGTTGTAGTTTTCATAGCCATTAACGTAAGCAGTTGTGCACTACGGATAAATTGTAATTCCTACTGCTACTACTACTACTACCTACACTAATAACAATATTTCAGGGATATATATATGCTATTTTATAACGCCCTCCCACCAAGAGTCTCACGCGAAGTCTCCGTGGTCTACCCTACTTGGCTATATGCGTATCGTGATTACCCAGCTAGCGATCTTATCAGCCAGACCTGACGGCCGAAACACT